TGCGCGGTGCTGGCGGGACGGAGGCCCCCCAGGGTCCGATTGCAGGGCCCCGCGAATTGCGCACAGTCCGGATAGGGAAACGCCGCCGTGGGGTCCGTGGGGTCCTCCAGGTGGGATGGGTCCACTAAACGATCGGACTCGGGGATGGGCCCCACGGTGGCTGGGACGGACGCGGTTGGAAGGCCATGGACCGGGAGCCACGCACCGACCTCGCCGTCCTCACAAACGCATCGCGTTGCACTACCTACAAGGAATCCCACACATAAAAAGACGGTAAATAAAGAAACACGCATGATAATAGGAGCAGTCTTTTGGGCCTATTCACCTTCCTCTTGAGCAGGTTATTATCCCTTTTCGTCTCTTCCTTTTAGTCTTAGGGAAGGTATGAATATGGAATTTATACCCCAAATCAGACTCGGCTCCCCGACGATTCCTTTTCCAGGTTTGAAGACAGGCTTCAAACTAATAAAGGAAGGGAAAAAAATCCGAACTTAAATCGGTGGAAAAGCTAAACAAAAACAAGTTATTCAATTCTAACGTGTGTACATAAATGTCTAATAGTTGGTATGTAAAAAAAAAAAAATGAGAGAAAAAGAAGCTGAATAAAAAAGAACATACAGAAACCACTATAACAATGATAGAGGTGTTCAGTGGAAAATAGCTATCATAATTGTCAGTAAACCGAAGGTTCCCGAGGAAAAAAGATATACACAGAAGTAAAATTTTATTAAAAGTTCTCTATTTTGTGTATTTTTCTCTTATCGTCTTTTTAAAATTACATGCAGGTATGAGATTATACTCTAAATTCCGATCTGAACCGTGGCATACGCATATAACTTAATTAATACAAAACGTGCATATTCGTCGTAAGGAATATTAAATTAAGTAAAATTTAGACTCTTTTCCACAGTAAATCTAATTTTATGCTTCGTTGATTAATATATATATAAATATATATATATCTTTTTAGATTAGTATCGCTTCTTCATTCATCTGAATGAATACCTCGTAAAAGCTTTATATATGGTGAAAAAAAAGTTTTTTTTTGACTTGTATCGTAAAATGGGAAGAAAAATAACTGTATAAACACAGACATTTACGGAACAGTTGTCACTCAATAACTTTGTCGATAATACGTAACCACAATATAGTAAACAAAAAGGAAAAAAAGGAAAAAAACATCCATTGATAAGAGAAGAAAAAATTATTCTAATATATTTTTGTGTCCTTCTTTGACACATTCAAACAACAAGACAGTAAGATGAATAGGAATCACTACTTTCCCAGCCACATGGGCATTAATTCATTCATTGCCTATTCTTACTGTTGAATTATCAATATGATCAGTTTAAATCCCAGAAAGGATAAAGAAGAAAGAAAAAATCTTATTTTGTGAAATTATAAAAATACATCTCAAGAGGAATACGGTAAAAAAGTCAAACCCGTAATATTGGAAGAGTACTTTTGTCTTATCAGAAGGCTACATAGGTAGGTAAATAAAATGTACAATACAAAAAATGTAGTGAGTAAATATGGGACTTAGAAATCTTAAAAAAGTAGAAAATTTAAACTCGAAAAGAAGCAAAAAATCTTTAAAAATATATGAAAAGAGAAGGATGATACTTTTTCAAATAAAGGCCGAGGATAAATATCTATCGTTCATAAAAAAGAGCATCTAAAAATTGCTAACAGCAACATATATATCTATTCCCATATAAACTAAAAAGAAAAAAAACACTACGACTATTGATATTTTCGAATAATCCTCGTAAAAATACTGGAGGTACTTGAACGCGATGATAACTGGTGTCAACTGTTTTTTTTTATAGATTTTTAAATACCTACCTGTATTCCGCATTAGTAAAAGTTTTAAAAAATCTTGAAAATAAAAAAAGAATTCCGAAACCCCTCTCATTATTTATCAAATTAAAAACACATAGGCAATGAAGCTATAGGGGGAATATAGCAATATATGCAAAATTAATCTTCGAAAATGAAAGATGGGAATACTATTATTCTTTAAAAACAACAAAAGTTAAAATTAACGAACTAATATGGCGTTTTTTCGAATTTATGCATCAAAGCCAGTGAATTAAACTTGGGATTCTTTGTAGGCGTATGTGAGTGCGCACGCAGCGGCGATTGCTATTCCAAATATATGGTGAGGCAATAACATTAGAGTTTATCCATATCAATAAAGTTTTAAAAATGGGATTTACATTCCATATAATGATCCTCCTCAAATTCCAAAACGTTCCTCAAAAAATGCAACCATCATAAACAAAATAAAGAAGAGAATCAACTTTATTGCAAAAGGTTTATTTTTATGCAGGTCGAGGTCATAGAATAAATTACACATTTGAATATATTAATAGCTTAATCTGTGATAAGTATTCATAGTAATAATAATGCAAATAACCGATACATTAATCACTTTATTATTTAGAAAATATATATGGAATATTTAAAAATGACCTGAAAAGGGATGCAATCAAACGATAGTTTTTGGTAAAGATACCCAGAATATATATATATAGACTTATATATATATATATTCAGAATAAAAAAAAAGTTAAGAATACAAAAGTATTCAACGCTCAGAAAACAATTCAAAAGAATACAAAAGAAGAAAAATCAAGAATAAATTCAGTAAAGGTAACTTTCGATTAATAAAATAAATAAAGGTACTTACAAAAACATTCTCAGGGGAATTAGTTGAAATGTTAATAAGAAACCCATATCGAATAAAAATATCTAAGCAATATTAAATCCAAATAAATCATCGAAATTGCCACATAAAACGTGTCCATTAGGGAATATTTCGAATACTGAATAAAAATTTTAAAAAGAAGAAAACTTGAAGAAAGCGTAAACTGAGAAAATATACCCTTTTGTCCATCCCATTGGCTTCGTTAGCTTCGGAAGTTGACTTGTCATGAATTCCTCAGTAGGGGGTGGTAGTTAATTACCTCTAAAGACTTATCAGACTCCTCGTGATGACGCTCTTCAAGTTCGTTTAACATTGTTTGCGTCTTCTTCAAAATGGATTCTGCGGTTATGTAGGAGTCGGATTCAATTCCAGAAGTCTCGCCTATTTGAAAACCGTTCTCACGTTGTCGACAGCAAAGAAGAAGTTCCAATAGCTCGACTTGCTCTTCTAATTCCTCCAAATTGTCTTCCTCAACCTGAGGAGGCTCAGGTATTGGTTCAAACGTGTAACTAAATTTATCATGATTAAACTTTTGCATAAGCTCTAGGACGTCAGAGTATGGGTCTTGTTGGGGGGAGTTCGTATTCGTGATGTCGGACACAGGCTCACTGAATGAGGGGGGAGGCGAGACCTTCCACGTCTCATCACTGATCGGGGAGTTCTTGTTGTCCGTAGTGCCCTGAACGTTGATATCGGTCGCATGGCGGTTAGCAGGAAAGACATCCGCAGGTGTCATGATCCCGTTACTCCACCTCGCGCCATCACGCAGAAGCGTTCTCGAGGGGCTGCTACTCATCCCAAGCGACTTCTCATAGATGTAGGACCCTATCGCGTGGCCATTCTCGTTGTCTTCGGTGGTTGATTTTAAAGGCGTTGACAGCTCACCCTGTGGGGATGTGGACGGGCGGGACCCTCCCAGGGGCTCAGGCGATGCCGCCGTGATCGCGCTGATGACACCCCCGGGCACCGCCCCGCGGCCCATCTGCAGGGTCCAGTAAAAGCTCTCCTCGGGGGTCACCCTAACGCCGGGGCGCAGGCGAAGACGACGCCCGTCAGCCTTCGCGCGCTCGGATAAACACGGGGGTTGACCCGCCGTGGTTTCTATAGCCTCCATGGCCTTTGCTACCTCCACAGCCTCCATGGCCTCTGCTACTTCCACAGCCTCTATGGCCTCTGCTACTTCCACAGCCTCCATGGCCTCCACGGTGAGTGGGATTTGGGGCTCTGGGAAGGGCCCAGGCCAGGCCCGGCATTGCGTCAACGGGACGGCATTCCACCGCTCGGCCCGGGGCTCCCCGCAGAGGCGTCTCACACCATCGCACTCGTTGGTCGCACAGGTGTTGACGACCTTCAGGGGGGTGTACGGATTATGACGATGGGGTCTGGCCTGTAAGCCGGAATCACAAGTACGCTCCATGGCTTACAACCGAACAATTATCTATAGGAAAGAAACAAGTAAAATAATAGGAAATAAATAAATAGCCCAGAAATCAATAGACGCTCTTTTTGGAATTGATTTGTATGGGTACCAATGAAGCTTCGGAAAAATGTGAACCGAAGGGAATAGGAATGGAAAAAAGGTACAAAAATGGGAAATGTGAATAATGATAATAAAAAAATGAAAATAAAAATTTTCCAAATGTTGAAGGAAAATACAGAAGTATGTTTTAACAGTGGCCTTTTTACTATGTTAATCAACTTTTCTATAAATACACAGTTTCTTAAAATTTATGAAATCGCTTTGGGATAAAAAAAAGATGGAAAAACTTAATCCAAACTTCTAATTGTAATAGTTTTGTTATTTCCTTTACGGTTGATAAAAATACCTAAATTTGGTTAGGTAATAAAAGCTTTTAAGTGGATATTGGAGATGTATCTGGTTCGATATATGACGATAATAGAAGAATGTCAAAAATGAACTGCCAAAGAATAATAAATATGTAAAAGTTTCGATTTCTTACCCTTTTGAAAAAGTGAAAGCATGGACACCTCCACCTTTTTTAGAGAATAAAATTAGCCTTTTTTGAGTGTTCGTAGTAATTAAAAAGTAAAGCAACCTTACCCTTTTCCTTTTAACACTTATTTCTTTTTTCTGTTTTATTCCGGATGATTATCCACAAGATGAGTAATATATAGAGGGATGGGTGCTATTTGTGGACGATATTCCTAAAACTAAATAACAATAGGTATTATTTGATTGGCTTGAATATATATATTTTTGTTTTTATATCTTCGCTTCTGCACTTTAAAACACTCTATTAATTTTCAATTAAATATTGAATTTTACAAAGAGTTAAAAGACGTTGCCACTTGAGACAAAAATAGATTGCTTTGTGAAAATAAATATATAAAGAAATTACAAAGCACGAATATATTCTGTGAAATTTTTTTTCGTATGTTACGAATAAGTTTCTGTTCCTAGCGCTTTTTTGTGATATTTTCAACGCTAGAAAAATACACAAGGCTGACTCTATTAATGTTGTTTGGTGTGTTCTCACCTATCTGATTCTATGTAAACCTATTATATATATATAAATATAATAAAAAGTACTATGCTCTTCGCCCTTTTGAGTGCAGACAGGTAGTAATCAATTTTCCTTGATTTCTATGAAATACGCTCAAGTGTATGTATACTTCACTCGTGAGCTCGCTGTCCTTGATGAAAGTGGGAAACTTTTCCTAATTGCGGGTTGAATTGATTTTTCCTCTTCCGGGTTATCTAAAATGACGTGTCAGTACGCAAGCTTTTAACCACACAAAGAAAGGAAGACTTAACCGAACTAGCGAAATTCCTTTAAAAAAAATGCAAAAGACAACAAAACACACACGTACCCTAAATGGATATGTGAGTATCGAATGGAGACACAAGAAATGAGTGTGCCTTGGAGGGGAGAAGAACTAATTAGTGGATTAGCCCCTTCCTTTTAAGGAACATCGATTTGTGATAGACAAATAAAGGGGAAAAAAGACAAATAAGAAAGTCCGCAGAACTTTGCCCAAAGCACGTGAAAAGAAGAAGAACAACACACAGTCACAATAATTAAAATATAGAATTCACGTCACTATTTATCTAAAATGGGGCGCAAATCAAAAGATTGGTGACACGTGATATTTGTGTCTCTTTTTGTGTAGATATGTACTTTGCGACATTTACACTGCCGCCTCTGAATACAGCGGCCTTCCTCGGAGTGGTGAGTTTTAAAGAGAGACAAGCCTTCTAAAAATGTCAAGTTGCTTATTGGCATTGGTTAAGATAAATTTCGAGAAATGTTTGTAGACCTGTAAATAACATGAATAATCCCATGCATCAGGTCAGGTAAATTCATATCGATGTACTTGTTTTTGCTACATATTCCTTATTGGAAAAGATTAGTAATCCAAACTTAGCAATAAAAATGAGGTCTCCTCCAGCGAAAATTGTAACCCACCACACGTAAAGATAATGGAAATAATAGAATCTAAAAAAACGAGACAATCTGTTAGTACTTCCTCGGAAGGAGAATGCGATTTCATAACTTTCCATAGAAGGGAGAAGAAAAATACCCAAAGCCTTTTCAAAAAAATCGCAGCATTGTATATATTTCCTTACATGTTATCGAAAAAAAAAACAATGAAAAAAAAAGCTTTTGTCAATTCAATATTGATATTTACGTTACAGATTCGATAAAATGTGCGAAATTTCACCGTTTCCCCTACTTACTCATACTTAAAATAGAATATCGGCCCAATAAAGAACGGTACATCCCAACAACACCGAATCTTCCATTTTTTTCTTTCCGTCCCCCCCCCATTTTTTCTCATCGCTTGGGCAAAGACGGCCCTGGGGACTTACGCCATGACGATCACCTCGAGCCTTTGGCTATCAAACCCCATCGTTTTCGCCGCGGCGGCCTCGTCGGGCTTGT